ATAACAAGCGAATAGCGGCGATTAAAAATTTGCGTCTCTACCGAATTTTTGACCAAATATACAAAGGAATTCCAGCGTAATGCTTTTGGATAACAGGAGAGTCAATACTCCTTTTAAATTTATTTAATCTAAATTTTAATTAATATTCAATTTAAATAATTAGTATAAATTAATTAAATTGATTTGATATTTTATGATGATTATGCGAAGGCAGAGGACAAAGCTCGTAAGCGTATCTCAATTTTTCTGCTATAGATTAGTAGTAGAATAATAATAACAATAATATATATATATATATTAATAATAATAATAATAAATAATATAAATGATATAAATATATAATATAATAATAATATAATAATAATAGAAATATATATTAATAATAATAATAATAATAAAAAAGGTAGAATCAGAAGTTTATTTTACAAGCTTATTAAATTGTTAACAAGATTGATCTGTGCAACGAAAGAAACTGAATTGCATTCTTTTACACCCGCGTCCGACAAATATAAATTCCATTTAAAAAAGCAATGGAGACATTCGTGTGTTCCTCATGCGTGTAGATACAAACAAAACGGCGACACTAAATTTTCGATGAAACATTTTTTTCAAATAATGAATAATAGTTCTCTCGAGATAATCGCATGTAGGGATTAAAATGAGGCATCTTGTATATTGTAGAATTATTATGCAGAGTATGCGATATGTAAATTTTATCCAATACGCAAAATAAAAACAATATGACGGTAATGATAAAACAAATGTCCAGGTCCAAATTCCACCAGTTCGCCAGATATTCTAACAAAAAAATATGCATTTGCATAAAGATCATTTTTCTACAGAAAACAAATATTTCTCACACGTTCATTAAAATGAATCTCACGAAATGTCTCCACACAAACACGCTTCCGTTATTTTCATAATATATCATTCCTATTTTGTTGTAAGTAGATTGCGTATGTTTATGCGCGATAAATATGCAAAAAGCATACGACATTTATGCACGAAAAGTATGCAAATATGCACGAAAAATATGCAAATATTTCCGACATTCTGTATATGCTATATTAAGTGTTGGTAATATTGAGTATTAACAACTATTCGAATTACGATCATTTTTTTTAAGTTCGATGGCGTTAGTTGATGACATTTTTCAGTATGTACTATATATATATTATATTATATATTATTATTATTATATTATATTTATATTATATTATATTATTATTATATTTTATATATATACTTTAGATTAAGTGTTAGTAATATTGAGTATTAACAACTATTCGAATTGCATTAAATTACAATCATTTTTTCTAAGTTCGATGGCGTTAGTTGATGACGTTTATCAGTAAAAATTAATTGTGTGTGGTACAGGTATCGATTCTTCTACAAATTCACCGCTTAAAAAATACGTGAAACTTGTCTTTATTTTTTAAAATATCCTTTCTTTTCTAAAATAGCATTTATTTTCCTTTCAATTTTTTCTCCACTATCACCAAGGTTGCTAGTGAATTTTACAGTTCACGTACATCCCTGTGGAACGATTTACAGTAATTCTGCCTAATTCGTGTTCAGATTGCGCACCAAAATTTGGGAGAGGACAATTTATTCGAATTTTGCGGCTCATTTTTGTAGTTACCGATTGCCAATAACTATACAAACGGGGCTCGAATAATCGTGTCTCTTTCTCCCAAATCGTCCATTTTTGTGCGCAATCCGAGCGCGAATTAGGGAGAAATTACTGTAATTGTAAAGCCACGGTTTCTAATTTCTGAATCGTGGTCGTGGGAAGGTGTTTAAACGAGTCTTTATTAAACACACACAAAATTCACCTTATCGCTTCGTTGATCAAACTGAACTACCCGAATTCGAAATACTAACAGCCACTCCTAACGTTCAATTTACTAACCACAAGGTTGCGAAAACATGATTTGCTGCGGCGTACTCTCAGCACTATATTGATAATATTACTGTTATCGACACTATCCATTTATGATACGAGTGCTTACTAACAGATCAAATTAGTTTAAGAAGATAGATGTTTCATATAAGCATTATATATATGCACATATACGCGGCAAATAACGTATGCAGTATATTTTTGCATATGTTTTTAATGATAAATGTGCAACATGTATAC